TTTTTTTTTTTTTTTGTGAGGCAGTTGAGGTTAAGTGAATTGCCCAGAGTCACACAGCTAATAAGTGTCAAGTGTCTGAGGTCACATTTGAACTCAGGTCCTCCTGACTCCAGGGCCAGAGCTCAATCCACTGCACCACCTAGCTGCTCCTGTTTATTTTTAATTGTGTACTGTTGTCCTAAAGCTTCATCCGTTCTATTCAATCACATTTTTTGGAACATAGCCAATATAGAAATTTGTCTTGTTTTCTTATACATGTGTGTAATAGGTTTTTTTTATGTTATCATTGGGGTGGGGTCTGGGGGATGTTGAGGTAGGAGGGAGAGAGAGAAGGCATCTTGACTGATAAAATCAAAATATATATTAAAAAAAAAATTGAGAACTCTGATCCATGTATTGACCAATCACCATTCCTGAGGACTCGTATTGAAACATACTGCCCACCTCCTGACAGAGAAGTGATGGACTCAGAGGACAGATTGATATGTAGTTTTTTTTTTTGGGCATGGACAATGAGAAATTTTGTTCTGTTTGACTCTACGTGCTTTTAACAGATTTTGTTCTTCAAGTGGGGGTGGGAAGGAAGTGGGAGGAAGAGAAGGCTGATCTTTTTCTGAAAATAAAATTTAATTAAAAAAATTAAATATGCTTACCATTTAAAGTTTTTTTTTTTACTACTACCTATAATATACTATCTGTGTGTGTGTGTGTGTGTGTGTGTGTGTGTGTGTGGTTTTCTTGTTTTGGGTATGTATATGTGTGTATATGAAATTGTCTTCAAATATTGTAATAAATACCCTGAAATATCAAGGCATTTATTCATTGGTTGATTTGTATCACGTGTATAATTTATTCAGAAATATCATGTACAAGCTTTTACTAAATATATGTATGTTCTTAGATTGATACCTTTAAGGTTTTTTCCTTTGGTAGTAGATTGTTAAATCTATAAAATTCACAAAGAGCTTTATCTTAATTTCACTATAAACTATTTCAAGAAGATAATGTTTTCATTAAGAAAGTAGTAAACAACATGGCATACGGTTTTAAAATTAAGATAAGCTTTGTCTTTGGTTCATGGGATCTATGTTTGTGGGCTGGATTGCAATATGAAGGGGACATCTCAGAAGTTTGTATGGATTGTGTCTCCACACAAGTGGTTGTGCTGGAGACTGCCAAAGAAACAGAGTCTCTGAAGAGATTTTACGAATTGTAATCTAATAGCGAGTTAATTTTTTTCTGACAATCTAGGATCTTCACGCTGTATAGCAAGTCACTTCCACTTGATCTGGCCTGTCGAGTTTGGGACGTCTTTTGTAGAGATGGAGAAGAATTTTTATTTAGAACAGGATTAGGAATCCTTCGATTATATGAAGATATACTTCTACAAATGGACTTTATTCATATAGCACAGTTTTTAACCAAACTGCCAGAGGACATCACATCAGAAAAGCTTTTCAGCTGTATAGCAGCTATTCAGATGCAGAATAGCACCAAAAAATGGACACAGGTAAATTCTTTCTTTCCCAACTCTAATAAAGATATTAAATCAGTCCTTTTATGTCAGACCAATGAGAGTTAAAAATTTTCCAAATATCAGTGCTGAAAAAGTTTGCAGTCATTTTTATGTATGTGAGAATAGCTTAGTTTATGGTCTTCTGTAAATGCAGTGGAATGAAATAAGCATTCTTTTACCCTTGCAATCCTAAAACTTTTTTTCTACAACATTTTATGAATACAAGCAAATTGTAACTCACAACATTTCTGTAGTTATGAGGGGACTAACTCTTGTTATTTCTATGACATTTCATATAAAACACAAAAATACACATCCATAGTGTATTTTTAAAGAATACCTTGTGTATTCTATATACCACAGGGGCTAGAAAAAGATAACAAACAATCCCGTAAAACAATTTAAGAGCATATAATCTAGTTAGGGAGAAACTCTATACACAGAACATTAAATAGTAAAAGATAACAGTGGAAGGGATACAACAGTAAAAATATGCTGTAGTATTAATTGCCAAATATGTAGGACCTTGAAAGATTTCTGATTTCATTTGTGTGTCTGTTCCTTCCAGTGCATATCAGGACACTTTCATGAGTTTCCATTCTTTTCATCTCCTGGAGACCAGCCTTCTGGTGATGTGGCTCTTCACACTTACTTTATGGTCCTTGTATTATGAAGATAGTTGGTTGGGCTTCATGCTTGAGACCTTTCTGGTTTGATAAGATGTAATAGAGGTTGTGTTCTGCTAATTATACAACCTTTGAGAAGCCAGAATTACTTCTATATTGATCTGAGTAAAAAGAATATCACAGAATTTCAATTAAAAGTGGCCTTGACTCTAGGCATTTTCTCTGGCTCATCCTTATGCTGAGAAAGCTTTCCTTTTTCATCACTGCCTCCTGGCTTCCTTGACTTCTTTCAAGTCCCAACTAAAATTTCACCTTCTCTTGTGAGCCTTTGACAATCCCTCTTAATTCCAGTGCTTTCCCTCTGTTGATTATTTCCTATTTATCCTGTATATGACTTGTTTGCATCTATTTGTTTGCTTGCTGTATCTCTCATTAGATTGGTTGCCTCTCAAGGACAGGAACTGTCTTTTGTCCTCTTTTTTTTTTTTATCCCCAGCGCTTAGCACAGTGCCTGGAACATAGTAGGCTCTAAGTCAATGCTTATTGACTGACTGACTCATTGGATGTCTAATCATTAGATGTCTAATGTTTAGTGATTGGGTGCGGCATATTGACTGAGTCCAAGTTTCATAGAACGAATCCTTTTATTAAGGGGATTTGTTCTGTGAAGTTTGGATTCAGTCAAAGAGCCGCACTTGAGGACTTAGAAGACCACATGTGGCCTCGAGGCTGCAGGTTCCTTACCTCTGCCTCTAATCCAACCAGTGTCCAAACAGAAATCCCCTCTATACCATATTCTTAACAACTGATCGTTCAGTTTTTGCTGGTGTACGTCAACTATCTCTTAAGGCAGCCTATTCCATTTTTAGATCACTTTGATTGTTAGCAAGTTTTTCCTTGCATCAAGTCCAAATTTGCCTCTTTAAAATTTCTATCTATTATTTCTACTTCTGTTCTCAAGGGATAAACAGAATAAGCATACTACCTTTTCCATGTGACTGCTCTTCAAATGCTGACAACTGTGCCTCCTAATCTTTTCTCAGCTAAACATCCCCAGTTCTGTTGACTAGTATTCATAAGACATAAAATTGAGACCTTTCCCTGAACCATCTCTAGCTTAACAATATCCTTCCTAAGTTGTGTTGTCCAGAACTGAAAATAATACTCCAGATATATGCTGACCAGAGCAGACTTCCTTTTTCTGTATGTTATACCGCTCTTCATATATCCAAAAAATTGCATTTGGTTTTTTTTTTGACTGCCCATCACATTGCTGACTCATATTAAGCTTGCAGTTCACTAAAATTGCCAGACTGTTTTTCAGACAAACTGTTCTGTAACCATACCCTCCTCATTTTGTAATTTTGAAGTTAATTTTTTGAGCATTTATCCCTCTTAAATTTTATTTTATTAAGTTTGACCCACTATTTTAGCCTGTCAGAATCTTTCTGAACCATTATGCTGACACCTTGTTAGCTATCTTCCCCATTTTTTATGTCACTTGCAATTTGATAAATATGCCTTCTGTGACTTTTAATAATGCAGATAGAAGTGCTGAAGTAGTGATAGATAAGGAGAGGTGAAGAGGTGCGGTGAGTGTGGTGGCTGGATGTGAAAGAGCGTGGATGGGAAAAGTGTTGTGGAGGTTGGCTTGATGAGACTTGGCCCCTGAAAGAGAGGCCAAGAAGGCAGAGGCTGTGAAACCCGGAGTCCAGTTGAACTGGGAGCTGATGAGATTCGTTGAGAGGGCACAGAGTGCTTAACTCCTGCTTCTCACTACTGCCATATTCGGTCATTTGCCAAGTCATGTCATTTCTACCCCCATAGCATCTCTCACCTATGCCCCTCTGCTCCTCTGACACTGCCCCCATCATGTTACAGACTGCCATCGATACATGCCCAGACTATTACAACACCCTGCTTGTTGGTCACCCTGCTTCAGATCTCTTCCTGCTCTGCTGCATCCTCCACTCAGCTGTCAAGTTGATTTTCCTAAAGCACAGGTTTGACTATGTTACTTCCCAATTCATTCTACTCCAATGGTTCTCTGTTACTTTCAAGTTCAAATACAAAATCCTTTCTTTGGCATTCAAAGCCCTCCATAATCTCCTAGCTCTCACCCCACCAATCTTCTTACACTGTATATTCCCCTGCGCTCTAATTCTGTGCTCTGTATTCCAGTGACACTGGTCTCTTCATTGTTTATTGAACACAATACTCCAGCTCCAAACTTTCACTGTTTTTTTTTCTCTCTTATTTTAGGCAGTTGGAATTAAGTGACTTGCTCAGGGTCACACAGCTAGTAAGTGTCAAGTATTTGGTCTGAGGTCGAATTTGAACTCCGGTCCTCCTGACTTCAAGGCCAGTGCTCCATCCACTGTGCCACCTAGCTGCCCCCCAAAACTTTCACTGTTTTCACTAGTTATTCCCCAGGCCTCAAACTTTTCCTCCTCATCTCCAACTCCTGGCTTCCCTGGTTTCTGTCAAGTTTCAGCCAAAGTCCCACTTTCTACAAAAAGCCTCTCCTGATCCCCTTTATTGCTAATGCCTTTCCTCTGTTAAATATCTCCAGTTATCTTGTCTATATCTTGTTTGTACATAATTGTTTGAATGTTTTCTCCCTTATCAAACTGTGAGCTCCTTGAGAGCAGATACTGTCTGTTGCCTTTCTTTGTATCCCTAGTACTTAGTTAACACAGTGCCTGGCAGTAATTGGGTGCTAAATAAATGCTAGTTGAGTGACTACAGAAAGGGAAGAGAAGAAGGCTCAGAACACAGTTTTGGGGAGATCCATGGTTAAGGGATAAGATATGGATGATTATCCAGCAAAGAAGACTGACGAACAGTCAGAGAAGTAGGAGAAAAATCAGGAGAGAACAATGTTAACAAAGACCCTGGGAGAAGAAAAATAGGTAGGAAGAGTGAATGGTTAACTGTATCAAATGTTGCCGAGATGAGGTTGGAGAAGAAACCATTGAGTTTTGCAGTTGAGAGATTATTGGTAGCCTCACATTTGAGTGTTAAGGTTGAAATCTAGATTTTGAGCGATTGAGAAGTGAGCAGAGAGGAAATGGAGGCAACAGGTACAGGTGTGAAAGGAAGAGGAATTCAGGACAGTGGCCTGAAGGAATGACAGGGTCAAGTAAAAGTGTTGTTGTTTTCCATTAAAGGGTGGGGAGACCCTGGCATGTTTTTAGACAACAGAGAAGAAACCAATATATAGGGATAGATTGAAAATTATGGAGAGGGCAGTATCATTAAAATGGAACGAGTTACTGAGGGAGGAGGAGATGTGGTCCAGGGACCAAATAGAAGGCATTCTCAGGAAGAAATGATGTTATCTATCATCATCTGGTCATGCATTTAGTCAATTCCTGGCACATAGTAGGTGCTTAATAAATACTATCTTTTTGTGCTTACTGCTTCCTTTCTTAAATGATTCTTTACATATATTATAGAATTTTTCTTGGAATTGAAATTTGGTTTAATTTGCAGGCTGCATCCTTTTCATTTTTTTTTGAAAATCAGAAGACTCATGATCTTCAGTTCTGTAATAGATCTTACATATTCTTTGATCTCCCAGAGATTATTGATAGTGGCTCAACAATTATATTTGCCTTTTTTTTCCTTAGTTTGTAGATATAGTTCATTTGGACTGGATGACTTAACTTCCTCAACAGAGGCTAAGTGCCTCTTTTCTTACTATTGTTTTATTTATTTTGGGTATTAGATTCCTTTTTGCCATATTTGTTTTTCCTTTTCCAGTCTAAAAAACCTTCTTGGTAGAGAAAAAAAAAAGTTGAGGTAACTAGGTAGAGCAGTGGATAGAGCACCGGGTTTGGAATCAGGAAAACCTGAATTCAAATCCAGCCTCAGATACTTATTAGCTGTGCGACCCTGAGCAAGTCACTTAACCCAGTTTGCCTCAGTTTCCTTATTTGTCAAATGAATTGGAGAAGGAAATGGCAACTCACTCCAGTATCTTTGCCAAGAAAATCCCAAATGGAGACACAAAGAGTCAGACAGGACTGAATAAAAAAAGAGAAAAAAAGCAGCAGCAGCAGTTGTCATTGTCTTGTTCACCCTGAATAGCAGTCCTATCCCTTCCTTCAAACTTCTTTCTCCAGCATGGCTAAAAACAAAGCATTCTTTGGGCTGTCCTTAGCTTTCCTGACAGCCATGTTGCATACTGAGCTCTAACAATCTTGATACTGTTCTTAGAGGAACATCTCATGAGTATAAACTCATAATTTCTTCCTTTAAAAGGAACCAAGGAAAATTTCTGTTCTAAATCTGATTGTCATATACAATTCATGGGGTAGAAATCGAGGGAACTTTCTGGGATTTATTTTCTGTTACCTGTCCTTGCTTCTACCTTTGTATATTTCTTTTAAAAATCTACATTGGTTGATGAGTTTCCTTTTTATCAGTATTGTTCTCTGTGAAAAACTTCTCTATTTCCTCTACATTATAATTATTTCTGTTTGTGTCTTCAGAATTTCATTTTTGAGAGATTTCTCTCTGTCCTGTGTTGACTTTCCTTATAGAATGATAGTGCTTGAGATTTTGTCTGCCCTTCCTCTGATCCATTCTGCTCTCCTAAAATTGAGGGTATATGTTATATTAAGCCATACTTCTGCCACCTCTGTTATAAGCACTAAGATGTAGTAGTTACTTCCTTCCTCTCCCTACAAGATTCCCCTCATTTCCACTTCATGAACTGTTTGTGACAATCAGATCCAAATTTAGAACTTCTCCTTGGTTCCTCTATACTTCAAAGGAGAAATTATTATTAAGGTAAGTTGAGAAATTAGGGACACTGCTTCTGTCACAGAGCTTCAGCAGACTTCTGTCCCCTTTCACAACTATATCTAATTCACTAGATTAGGCTCTGATGACAATGTTATTCTGTTTCTACCTTTATTATCTTTACCCCGATACTCAGTGTCCACTATACATTTCTCCTTCAAAATGACTGATACTGGGGCAGCTAGGTGGCAGAGTGTATTGATAGAGCACCGGCCCTGAAGTCAGGAGGACCTGAGTTCAAATCCAGCCTCAGACCAAACACTTGACATGTACTAGCTGTGTGACCTTGGGCAAGTGACTTAACCCCGATTGCCTCACAAAAACAACAAAAAAAAACCAAAACAAAACAAAAAAACCCCCCAAAAACCAAAATGACTGATACTTATCTGACGCTTTGAAATTTGCATGATTTCTTTTATGTAGACCTATTCTCATACAAGCCTGTTATGAGTTATTATTTTTCCCATAATGATGAGGAAAATGAGACTTGGCATGGTTAATGTCAAATGCAAGATTCTTGACTTAACTTTCTTATTATCATCTAGCACTTTAGCAGAGGAAATGTGTAGTAAATAGAGACTTTGTAGACACCTTGGATATTGCTATGAATTCATATGTTACAGTTTCATCAGCAATCTATAGAAAAGGAATCTAGGAGCTTCAGAGGAGGAATAATTCATGTTTGTATAGCACACTAAGGTTTACCAAATGCTTTCCTCATAGTGATCCTCAGAGGTAGACTAGTCTCTAGTATTCTCTCCATTTTACACATGAGGAAACTGAGATTAAGACAGGTTAAGTGATTTGAACCAAATTTGAACCCTTGTCTCCAAGCCTAGTGCTTTTTATTCTTTTCCACACTACTTCTCCAAATGATAATTTAGTGGTATTCTGCCAGGTGATAACCATAACATTAGAATCTAAAATTTGGCCTAACAAAGCAAAATGTAAGGATGCAATTTTGGGGGGGGGGATGGGGTGGAGTGGAGAAACAGTGTTGATGGTTTAAAAAAAAACTTGTTTCTGTTTTTAAGTTAATAGCCAGCAGTCTGTTACTGTTGAAAATCAATTAATTTAATATGCATTCCCAGAAAGGAATTTCCAGAGAGAATGTTCAATAGTTAATCTTTATTTCAAATCATTTTCAGGTGTTTGCATCTGTAATGAAGGATATTAAAGAAGGGGACAAGAATCATAGTCCAGCACTGAAAAGCTAATCTTCACAATTAAAAGCCTAATTGAAATGTAGAAAACAATTTAATAAAATACTTTTTTCTACGTGAAAAACATTAGAGAAAAATATTGGAGAAATCCAGAAGAATCAAGAGAGATGGACAGATGTTGAATTTTCACTCAGTGGCAAAAGTAGATAAATGGATATCCTGTTGCCAGTATTAATTTTTAAAAAGTATTGTGTGGGGAAAACAGTTTTCACAAAGAAAAACTTTGAAAGTTGCTAGTTCATATTCCATAATTTGAGGTAAAGAATTTAATGCAATAAAATTTTTAAATAATCTTGGTTGGTACTTAAAGTTTTTGAGGCATGATTATTTTCTTTTTAACAGTTACTAGAAAGGCACTTTTGGAGGTCAAAAGGGGGCATGTTAAATTGTCTGAACCCCAAACTACTTTCTGAACCAAACCCCTCAGTATAGTTATTACCTCCAGATTTAACCAGTTGAAAATATTATGGACCAAATAAATTTCTTTGTTGTCTATGTGCCTAAGACTATGAAACATTGGGTTAAACTTATTTGGGTCACTGATGTCATTCAGTTTCATCCATCAGTTGGGGCAAATATGTGTAACTCAGGAACTGGAAATATTGGTGGTAGATTGTACTTCACTGGTTTCAGGTATTTCTTTTCCTGTAATATTTTATGTTTGTTATTGAAGAAAAATTATGTGGACATTCCTTAAGAGATTCTTAACAGAGGAATGTTAGCCTTTCCATTTCTAGTCTAAGAAATGATTTTATTCATGAAGTCATAAAACACTATGAAAATGGGGAAAAAATGGTGGAAGGAAAAGTTTTTCTTTGCACTTTAATGGGCAGAAATTTTGGTTTTGGTAGTCAATCCATAAATGTTAAAGTGAGACTTTACAGTGATTGTGTAATCACAGTAAAGAAATTACCCTAGTATGTAATGCTGACAGTTTTAAGTAGCATGGTGCTTGGCAAAGACTTGACATTCTTTGTACTTAAAATCCTTCCACTGTTGAACAACAAAATTTTGTAAATAGATTTGACATTTGAAACCTTAATTTATAAGCCAAGTCAATGACTTGCAAAATGTGCTCTAGATGATGAAAAAACCTAATTTTTTAATCAATGGAAATGAATGATAGCAGTAATACAATTGAACATTAACTTTTTCTAATAAGTCAAACTTTGATATTTATTGTGTATTGATTATGTTAATCACTGGTAGACTTGAGATCAAATTTATCACTACAGCATTTTAATTTTGGAACTAAAATGAATCATTTGAATGTTAAGAGCAGTATCTGCATAACATGCTACTTATTTAAAGAATGCTTTTATGTTGCAGTTCGGTTTATAACTACCTTTAAGCACATTATTTATATTGTTAATATGTAGTCTTCAAGCTAACAGGTCTGGTATCTTTGTTAATGTGGTGACCGCCTCTTTAGGAACATAGAACTTGAGAGTGCCCACTTACTTCCATCCCTGTTTATTCCAGCACTGTGACTTGGGAGGGCCTCTCAGTAGTTGCTCCTAGTAGTAGAGCAGTGAAGCTTGCTAGGGGGAGGAAAACTTTCTGTGAAATAATGTTGGGGGGGGGGTTCGCGTCATAATACAAAGCCACTCGAATGTCCGAAATGAATGACTATAGTCATTCCCTCCTGCCCAGTTACCTACTTGGTTGTTTTCAATGGCCCTGGAAAGTATTGAGCATTGAACCCTGGTGGTCACCATATTGACATCACATACTACATGTCTAAGTTAAATTTTATTTTTATGTATTCATTTCTTTAGTTGGAACCAAGTTATTTCTTCCAATTTTGTTTTATTATTGTACAGTTTCTTTACCTTTCAAGTATAAGCTTGTATATAAAAATGTAAATACAAGGGATACATTAAAGACCACTAATAACAATTCCTATGTAAATAAAATTGTAAGCAGAGTAATTACTTGAAATGAGTCTTCATTACTTTTGGGTTATCTGCATTAATTAACTGAAGCTGGAAAATAATAACTAAACTATTTTTTTTTGCCAAATTTTTCTTGCTTAGCATTGCCCCAGGCCTTTGGTCCTAAAGGACTGGCAGTATTGGCAGCTGCAGTAGCATACTGTATTTGCCCATGAGCCATTTGTACACAGTTCATATGTCAATGTGTAAGATAGCTACTTTATTAAAATTTTCTTTTAAATGGAAAACGTTTTACTATGTCATCATAATAATGTGAAGTTTAGTATTATTTCGCTTGTATACTTATGCAAAGTAACTTTTTAAAAAAGTTGGCAGCATATTTTCTTGTTTTTTTTTTTTTTTAAGGCAATTGGGGTTAAGTGACTTGCCCAGGGTCACACAGCTAGTAAGTGTCAAGTGTTTGGTCTGAGGCCGGATTTGAACTCAGGTCCTCCTGAGTTCAGGGCCGGTGCTCTGTCAATACACTCTGCCACCTAGCTGCCCCAGGATATTTTCTTACTCCCATTTCCTTTTGTGACTGGGCAATATCCCTTCAGTTTACAGCCGAGCATTCTTACTCCAAATGCCGCTAGAAGGCACCAAGTTCTTGTATTCATCATAGCAGTTCCCATTGAGAGCAAGTTGCAAATCTCTCAGATCCACTGGGCGCATACGCCCACGGTCAAATGCCTTTAAATGATTAGTTTGGTACTGAACTCTAAAGAGATAATCCATCTTTAGCAAGAAGGCACTGAAATTTCTACGGTCTCTGAGATTAATTTAACAACTTTTCCAGTAGCTTTGAATTGATGTTACTTTTCTCTAGTTCAGTTCACTTTCAATATAGTTGCACTAATATGTGTATTTCAAACCTGTGATCCCAAATCATTTTTAATTGACATTACACTGCATTGTAATTTTTTTGGGTAGCAACAAATATGCCTATTTCTTGCCTTGCTAAGGTTGCTATTAAAATTAATTTGAATTCCGTAAGAGAACACAACAACTGACGAGAACAAATTGGGAGTAAAGCAGCCCTAAAGTCTGTGGTACAGGGAAGTCAGTCTGGAATTTTAAATTTGGGGTGAATAATCTACCCTCTTGATAATAAAAAGCTGTATCTGTGTGGCATAAGTGACATTTTAATTTAATATCAAACCATTACCCAGGGTTTAATAAAAAGCTGTCATAGATTCCCAAATGTGGTAAAACCTTATTAAATTGGACTTCACTGGATTAGCATTTGTGAAAATTGAATAGAAATGATTTGCCTTTTAGTTTTCTAGGAAAGGGAGAATGTAAACAAAACTTTTTCAGCTACTTGGCAGAAATGGATTTTTAGAATGCTTTTAGAAGCATTCATTAACATGTAATTTAATTGCAAAGTGGCAGGGCCCACAGGTACTTAGGTAATGCTTTAATATGCTAATTATAAATCTTTGTTTATTTGTTAAAAACAATGCTGCTTTCATACCACACTTTTAGGTTTCCTGCATGTCCTAGAAATAAGTAAAATTTCATTGCTTTGAAAATAACATTTCTTTATTTTATTAATTCAAACTAGTCTTCCCATAATTAATCTCACTTGGTGAGGTTTTTCCATATGCCGCAGGCTGAATTTATCTTATTGTGACCATTCTTAAGGAAGTTACCTTTCTGCTGCATTGCAAAACCTTTTCATTTGTTGACATTAAGAAAAATGGAAACTTTCATGGTTTTATTAAGTGACTTTTGTACAATTACAATGTATTTGGAAGTCAATTTTGTAATAAACATGTTATGATAAAATTGATACAGCTTTGATAGTAAATGTAAAAATAGAGACAAGAATTGATTACATACCTTTGTCTGTGTTCTCATTTTACAACTTATATTTAAATCATATAATGATCATATTTATATAACCCTCTATATAGTTTTCAGAGATTTTCCATAGCTTTTAAATTTGATTATTGGGATCATCCTGTTAAGTAGGCAAGGATTATCGCCCCTATTTTGAAAAATGAGGAAAGTTGGGTTCAGAAAGGTAGTGAATGATAACAGATCCTGGACTGTGACCCAGTTCTCCTGCCTCAGCATTCATTTAATGCTCTACTCAGCTGCTCCCTCCTTTTAAATATGAGGTTAAGGGAGTTTTGGGGAACAAGTGCACAAGTAGGTGGGAAATCTGGGGATCAAGAAAGAGTTCCTTTAAAAAGCTGGTTAGAGATGGGTTGAAGTATCCCGAGAAACTTGTTGTTTACATATAGCACATTCATCAGTAAACCTTTAAATAGTATATGGTCAATAACAATTAAGATAACTTGAATTTTATTTATTAAGGCCACAGAGGGGTACACATAAGTGCTCTGCAATACAAATTAGTGCAAGAGCATTCTGTGGTACTTTGTCTCCTCTCACTTTTCCCTAAATCCTCTGCGCTCTGGCTGCAGACCTCAACTGAAACCACCCTCCCCAAAGTTACCGATGATTTCTTAAATGCCAAATCTAATGGCTTTTCCTTGATCCTCTCGTTGACCTCTTCTCAGCTTTTGACTCAGTTTTGACCACCCACATTGCTTCCTTCTGATTCTCTTACCTGTCTGATCTTAGTCTCAGCTCATTCGTTATCCATGACGTGCTTACTTTGTCTTTAGGCTCTTTTTTTCCTCTCACTCTACATATTCATTCAGTCAGCAGATCTTGTCTTTTCTATTTCTACGTCTCCTACATCCCCCACCTCATCACTCCCATAACTACCATTCTCCTTAAGACCTTCATCACCTCTTTCCTGGACTACTGCAATAACTTCCTATTTGGTCTCCCTCAAGCATTTCTCATCTCAAACTCCTACTGACTAGTTCAACTCTCTACTCTCCTCTATTTTTGATCTCACCTCATTGCTTTGTCAAACCCCAGCCCTGAATTCTTCTGTCTGCCTCCTCCTCTATTCCCCTCATGCTGCTGAATGGATGGAGCATGAGGAAATATCTCTCCTGAGGATCAACAAACTTCATATGGAATATGAATATTTAGTTACAGTTATCTCAAACTCACATACAAAACAGAACTCATCTTTCCCTCCCAATTCTGATTCTAAACTTCCCTATTACTGTTGAGGACACTACCATTTTTTTTATCACCAAGGTTCTCAACCTCCATGTTTTTCTCAATTCTTCACTCCCAACCCACATCACTAATCATTTGATAAATCTTGTCCATTCTCTTTCCACAACATTTGTTGCACCCATCTCCTCCCAGGCCAGCTCCCTATTTCAGGCTCTCATTAACTCTTAACCTATTACTAAATTGTTATAACTGGATTCACAGCTTTGTCTCTCATCCTTCATTTTCTCATCTGTACAGCTGCAGTAATGATTTTCCTGAAGCACAGATCTGACCATGTCTCTGCTCAAGTGTTTCTGCTCCAAAAACTTAAGTGGCTCTCGGCCTCTAGAATCAAATATAAACTCAGTTTTTGATATTTCAAGCTCTTACAACCTGGCCCCATAAGCTAACTTTCCAGTCTAATTATACTTTACTCCCTGGATTCTGCAATCTAGTCATACTGCCCTTGCAGTTCTGAACACATGATGCTCCAACTTGTGTCTCTGTGCCTTTACCTTGCCTGGTCGCCAAGTTTGGAATGCTTCTTGGGATTTTTAGTTTCTTTTGAGACTCAGCACAGGTACCAACTCCTACCCAAATCCTTTCATGATCTCCCTAAGGGCTAGTGCACTCCCAAAGATACCTTAGATTCAATTTGTACATATTCCGTATATACTGATACATGCACATACAGTCTTCCCCATTAGAATGTAGACTAGAAGCCAAGGATTGTTTTGCTTTTTTTTCTTCTTCTTCTGCATATCCCTCTTCCTAGCACAGTGCCTGGCATAAACAGGTGCTTCATAAATGTTTTCGACTGCTTACTAGTAGAGATGAGAGTCTACACAAGTTAACTGATACAGAACAAAGTAATGGGGGCAAGAAAGAGCCAGGCAAAGTGCTACGAAAAAAAAGTCTTAAGAAGGAAGCTAGTCACTGGGGGGGAGATGGGGAGTTGGCACCAGGATCTCATGCCTTGGAAAAAGCACTTTGTACATAAAAGAATTCAGGACTCTGATGCAGTGCCCAATCACGCCTTAAGAAAAGTGGTGGAGAAACGGAGCCCACCTCTCACGTCTCAGCGGAGGTGTCAAATGGGCCACCTGGATCGTCGGCCACGGCCAACGTGTAGATATGTTTTGCTTGGACGGTGGGGGGTGTACTCAGTGGGAAGTGATAAAGGGGGAAAATCAAAATATTAAAATTAAGGGGAAAAAATGGCACTGCTTGCAAATCCTGGCTCTACCTGCGTCTCCGAGGGCAGTTTGGGCTCACGACTTCACGTGTGAAAGAAGGGTGTTGGAGCCCAGATCGCTTCTCGCGTGCACCGCTGAGCTTCAGGTTTGGTCCAGCGCTCATTTACACCCGCCCGCTCCTCCTGCGAGTCTAGACAGGCTGGGCGGGAGCCGATCCCTCCTCTCCAGAGCTATGGCTGCAGACACTATGGGAAGCAGTCTGGTAGTTGCAGGGCTGGGCCAGGACGCACAGCCCAAACCCTTCATTTTCTAGATGACGCCACTGGGAGGTCGGACTATGGGTTTGAGGGAGGACTTGAATTCAGGACTCCCTGCCTCCAGGGCCAGCGTCCTCTCGAGACAGCAGGTGCTTCATGGAGAATAGATAAAAATGCCTTCCCCTGTACTTCCTGTCTCTCTCTCTCTCTCTCTCTATTCTGACTGAATTCTGGCCGCCAGGACCGTCAGAAAGGATGCACGAAAGCTCAAAGCTTCAACGAGATCCTAAACTAAACCTGGAAACCGACAGTTGCCACCTGACCCTGCGGGGAGAGGGGTGGGGAGGGAGAGAACAGGAAACCCCGCGAGACTGGGGGCGGAGACGGGGAGGGGATAACGAGGAGGGGGCGGGGACTTGGGAAGGAGAAGCGCGCGGTTTTCCCCGAGAGAGTCTCG